AAGAAAAGTTAAAGGAAATTATCATCGCCAACAGAGACAACCCAGAAGCATTCGAATTCTAGTCAAATAACACGACAATAATGAGACACTTAGAAATCGTTTCCAAAAGAATTAACGAAAAATTACACAACAAGTTTCTAAAAATACTGACTGAATTCTAAATATTTCAGTATAAAAACGATGAAAATTGAAGAAGTTCTTTCAAAAAACTTAAGTTTCTAGAAAGCCCAATGAAATATTTGTATAAGTTCTAAAATGATCGAACACATTTCTAAAACAAATGAAGAAAAAAATCAAATAAATACGGAAAAATGTGGAAGCAGAAAGAGACAACATAAACAAAAAAATAATAGACACATCAAATGTTATCAAATCTTAGTCAATTGATTGGACATACATTAAGTGGATGCCCATTTACTATACAAAGCACAACTGTGAAGTAGAATCTAGCCTGCAGGAGATAACTTACAAGAATCTGGAACTGATCAATCTAGAGCTGATCCTATGGTGCGGTTGGCGTAACGCAAAAGCCTGTGGCAACATTTTGGAAGAAAATTTTGGATAAAAATTTTGTCAATGGTTTTAGACAGCTAATTACAGAAAGCTTTACGTAAGCAAGATAAAAACTATTAACTTAATCACTTACTATTTCCTTCCAATCAAAACCCCCAGACTAGCCTCATGAGACAATCGAACCTGAACCATTGGGGAATGAGAAAAACAGAATGATGAAGATCTGGAAGAAATGATTCGGAAAATAATTCGCGAGACGATGCCGAAACAAACGTAAAAGCCGATGTTCGAATTGTGACAAAATATGTTATTTTCGTCATAATTGTAAAAAACTGAAACGAAAGTCAGAGAACTATAGTGGACATACATAAAAGAATACTCATTGACCTTAAGAAGTAAAGCACTCATTCACTGTTAATATAATCTTCTGGTGGAGTTCATAGGTTGTACATTGATGGTTATATTAACAACAACAAGAAATATAGTTTTTGATTGATATGGGTACAACAAAAACTCTAGACCATATATAGCAAATATATAGCAGGCCAGAATGATCTTAGATTATCACCAGCTTCAGTACAGCTTAGACCAGCAACCGCTGAGTTAATTAAAACATATGTTATGAACTTATGAAACTGCTATCAAATTAAAAAGAAAAACTTTGGTGGAGCAGTGTTTCTGTAGTGTCGATTTGTTATATGGCTAGAACTGTTAAACATTAGAAGTCATAGTATCTGAAATATCTTTGTGATATGGTGATTAATACATGCCAATATCTTACAAAAATGAAGGCTAAGCTGGCTAAGGTTGAATTTCAAAACATTTTCGCCATGCATGAACAAGAATAGTAACCAATAAGATCAACATCTGAGATGCTCAACCAATCATACAACTTCCGTTTCTTCCAGAAGTCTTCCATTTGTGGAAGAAGGGATCATTGAATCTTCAAATAGTTTCTGCACTATCTCTTGTGTAAAATAGATGTTACATTGGATGCTTTCCCTGGGTCTAATTGTTTCTCTAGGCTCACAAGAAAAAGTGGATAATGGCAAGTAGAAATGGAGTCAGCTGATATGGAAAAAACCATTACATTTTAATGGTAAGTAAACAATTTGAAGAATTTAATTTTCATACTTAATTGTTAATAACTAAAAAACAATATTGAATTTTCCACAGGAAACATATAAGTTTTCTTTGTTTAGGTATATCGCACCCTCAGTGCAAGACTGCAGTAACTCAAAATTTTATGAAAATGAAGTAATAATGGAAATTCTTGTAAATATGCATATTTTAGCCCCTGTAAAACTTTAGTAACTTTCAAATGCTTAACTGGCTAAATATTACAACAACAGTTTAAACTATTTTGCGTTTTTGTACATAAGTTCCGTGCAAAACTGTTGTAATTCTCATGTAACAGAGTTACAACAGTTATGCATGGAACATTGCAATGGTTTTGATAACAAGCAATTAAAGGCAGAAAAAACGTAAGATAATCGTTAATTTAATATCTATATATGTGGTGTTTAATTTTAATATACAGTCTACATAATCCATTAACCGCTGAAACAATAAATAAAGATTTACGAGACCAACCTATTCATGTAAGTTTTATGTGCTTTGTGTGACATTATATTTTCCATAAAATATGTGCGATGTCGTTTGACCATTTATTTATTAGATTGGATTAAAAAACATAAATTAAGACTAATTATTTACAGCCAAAAAGTATTTTTTCTTATGAAAGGAAAAACAGTTATCTTAAAACTGGTGTATTAACAATACTGACAGGTTAAAAATATTTATTCTCAGAAAACTTGTTCTATAAAAACTAAATGCCAAATTGTATTAATCTTCATGTAACTTTCCGGGGCGATTGTTTATCATATTGTCCCCCCGTAATTCCTAACTTGTTGGGACAACTCCCCCGTTGTCCCAACAAAAAAGTGGTTCAATCTGCATAGTTCGGGAAATGGAAACAAAGGACTTCTTTGATTTTAAACATGTTTCCTTTCTGTTGGGAAACAACTATAAAATTGATTAAAGCAAAGAAAATGTGAAGTAGACAGATATAAAAATTCTGCAATGTAGGAAAGATAGATAGAAAGAAAGATATGATGATGAACTATGGAATTCTTTTAATTTAAAAAAATCATCACAGACTATACATAATATACGAGAAGTGCTACCTGCCTACAAAGGGCCAAAAATTCAAATGGCCAAAAAGAAATATTTGGTATACCATTCAGGTATCATACCAGAAGCCCACCATAGTTTTTATAAAAATATTTTGGCCCAAGATGATATACGAGAAGAGGATAACAACTAACAGAAATGTGTCTACACTTTTACAATTTTCTCCATGCAAAATGGTTGTAACATGAAATTCCTAATTTTTTAGCATTAATATTATTTTATTTAAATTTCTATTTTCGGTTAATGTAATACAGATGAAAAGCCTGCAAAATCATAATTAAATGTTATTTTTCTTAAAACTTCTGTTTTATTTCACTAATATTAGCCCGAAAATAAACAAAATCATCTTTATGAGTTACTGCAGTCTTGCACTAAGGGTGTGATATATTAAATAAAAAAGTTGCAAGATGCATATATTATTTGAAAATCCCAAGACAAATGTATGTCTTAGAGTACAAATATCAAAAATATTGCAGGTATTTTAATTAAAAACATACAATTTATAGAATAAAATAAATCTAGTCTCTAACTGAAACTGTTCTCTATCAATTTCCCACAAATATATCACAAACACTATAATACTTTAAATGCTATTTTATATGCTATCCCATTTTATATGAAAAGAAAAGTAAAGAAGGCGTGAATAAAATAATATAAATACAGGAAATAGGTCTTTGTTAATTAGTCTGTATTTCTCATCTTCAAAAGTTTTCAATAATTGAATTAAAAACATCATTTTTAGTCTAATTATTATCAGCAGTTAAGATAAGAGGCCTGGAGTTGATTGAATAGGATATACAATTAAAGCACTAATTTAATAGTCATTAGGAAATCAATGAAGTCTCTATTAATAAATTGTTTAAATAAATATATTCATATCAAACTGTAAGTAACTTAAAAACTATATTCCATGTTAATGATTTACTCTTTTATTCTGCCAAGTGTTATTGCCTGGTTATTTAATAATGTTGCATTTAGGGACCTGAAGGTCAGTTGTTTGCTTGCATAAAACACTACAGATCTATTTTTGCCCCCATTTATAAAAATTATATTATTTATAGCACATAATTGAGACAACAGGAGACTAGTACTGACTTTGAAATGTGTAACAAATGTATTACTCACAGCACATTATTTGAGAATGCAACAAGTCAGTTAATTTAATTTTTTTGCATTTAAATTTTAATAAAATTACTAATGTAAATGAAAAAATGTGGAAAACAAATTTTAAGACAAAACTGTGATTAAAATACTGTAGTTCTAACACAAAAAAAGAAATTTTAAGATAAAATTGTGATTAAAATACTGCAGTTTTACCACAAGAATGGAGTTCAACATGAAAAGTGGATTGCTTTAAATTTTTGTTTGTTTGGAATTCTATTTCTGACTTAACTTATAAAGTTACTGCATATAGATAGAAACATATTATTTGAAACACATACTAACCTAATCTAACTAAAAATTATGTAATCTAACAAAGATTCTTTTTTTCTATCTAGTGTCCTTTAATTATGTCTTCAACTATAATAGCCATTTACACTTAAGTTAAAAGAAGGGCAGAAAATATCAATGATCTCATATGTAGTTAACATGTTATAAGATTTTCTAAACAAGATATTATTTGCCTATAAAGGCTATATTATAGCAAAGTGCTTCCAATATGTGTTCACATATTCTATTCAAGAGACTATTCAAGATAGTTTAAGATTTTAACATTACCTACATATGTAATCCCCTGAAGAAATCTTTGATAATCATCTTATAGACACTTTTCAAAAATGTGAAGTCTTTTCTCAAGTATGATCAAATCAGTACTGTCTGCTATTTTAAATATATTTTTTTTTTCAATATAAAAATAAAATAAATATGTAATATTTGAACAGTTTGGCTTTACTAGATATCCTGAACTGTATTAATGTAAGAAAACAATGTTAGCACTATTATCTTGCATATATTCTAATGAAAGAATCAAAAATACACTTTATTAACTTTTGAATTAAGTAAATATGAATGAAAATTATAAAAAATGCGACTCTGTAAAACTATTTTAAAGATCTTTCAATTTACAGTTTTACATTTCATAATAAGTGGAATCAGTATGGAAAATGAAAATAGGTAAAAATTATTAAAAATATATTTTTGAGTCATGTTGTCACTGATACTCAGAAGACTTTAGAATATTAAATCATATCAAATCAAGAGGAAATAACTAGGGTTCTTGTTGGCTGCAGATTGTGCAATTACTCTTACATGTCATTTACAAACAAGTAATCCAAAAAGTACTTACCTAAATTTCACTTTATTACTATTACTTGAATCTTTTTATACTGCTCTTCAAGTATTTCTGAGTCAAAAGTTGGGTCCCACCATGACTTCTGAGAGGCTCTTTCAAATGGTATGGGAAAGCATTTTCCCCAGCAACCAGATTCTTGTGACATCTGAGCCAGGTACATTTGCACTTTGGGATCAAGAGATAACTGTGTGTTTTCATCTTCAACCAAAATCTGAGGGATTATCATCTTGTATGTCTGATTTAACATAAGATGAGGAATCTGCCCTCTCCCTCTCTTTCATTATGGTTGCAAACTGATTCATTTTTATTAGTATAACTGTCTTAGGACATTTTAGAACACACTATTATAATCTTCATAACTGAAATGAAAAATAATGAATTGTCTCAAATATTTATGTAATCTAAAGCTAGTATACCTCCTGTGATTCCATTTTACTGATTATAAATTGTGGTTTCGTAAATAAGCAGGGATATCCACATAAAGTAGCTGTGTTGTGCTTTGGAAACATGTTTAAAATCTAAATTAAACATTATGGCTTATGTCAACAATCAGTGTTTGCTTTGCACTATACCTTTACATGTTTTTATGATAATTTTTTAATGATATTGGGATTAAGCAATGTCTTCCAGTTTTGATAATTGAATCTTACATAACAAATATACTTCATATGATATTAATAAAACTATAAACAAAATTCATTTTTAAATTAAACAGAAAACTCTCCCTTATGTACTTTCAATTTTTACTTCTTTTTTGGATTACCAACTTTTCTGACATTTACTTACATATATGTCATTTAAGAGACAGCACGTGAATGAAGTTAGCAAAAACAGGTGTCCCAATCTTTTCAACTGTCAACTGTCACCATTTCTAGGGAATTTTTAAAACCGAGTTCAAAATAAGACATTTTCAAAAATATGTACTGTTCTCAAAATTACCTATATGTAGTTTTAACACATAATACAGTATTTATTTTAAATATATGAATAAAACTATTTCATAAATATCGTTTCTATAGCAGATTAAAGGAAAACATAAATTTGAAAAACGATAACATTCAATAGATTGTACAATTTTTATTTGAGAAACATTAAAATTCATTCTTCTATGTCATTAAGTATTAGGTACAGTTAGAGTTAGAGCCCACCATCATAAACATACAAAACATAATACGAATTTGAGCTAAAAAAAATACAAATGTTTTCAAATGAATTTCTCAAAGAAAAAGAGTTATATTTCATTTCATTTTGGTGTGGAAAAAACATAAATTAACACTTGATGATCACGGAAAACTCTTGATTGAATATTTACTTGTAAATTCACAAGACGTTTACTGGATACAGAATCCTTTCCAAAACCATAAATGCTAATTGTGTTGGGAGTATGAGAATTTGATTGATATTAAGCGTTTATCCTCTCCAAAATTCACTGTAGAATCAACGCCACTGAACAGCTTTTCAATTGATTCGAAGGATTAATATTCTGCAATAGTTAAAAAGGCCATCATAACTCTGATTCCTTTTGAATACTATCAGAATTCGACTAGATGCCTTGTGCTGGCCAGATTTCGCCACTAATCCACGCAGGATAGACGGTGATCGTCAGCTTTAAAATTTTGTAATGGATCTACAACCAGGATTTTTGATACTTCTTATAATATATTTTCAGAATTCCCCTTCCAAATTTTAGGTGCATATTTCCTGATTTCTTGTAAAGAATCAAGATTTCTGAATACTATCAAGTTCTTCTTTCTTATGGTGCCTATCCCTTACGAATGTTGGACACTAACACGGCTATTCTGACTTTGTTGACTGCTGCCCTGAAAAGTCGGTGGTGGTTAAGTTAAACCATTTTCGCAGGTTATGCAGCCAGGATATTCTTCTCGGTCCTGGACCTCTTTTCTCATGCACTTTACTTGAAGTGTGGTTCGATGTAGGTCATATCATTGTTCATTATATGGGCCCAGGTATTCTAGTTTGCGACGTTTTATGGTTACGACTAGTTCGCACTCTTTACCCATTCTATTTAGTATTTCTTCGTTGGTAACTCTGTTTATCCAGGAAATCTTCAACATACGTCTATAGCACCACATCTCAAATGCTTCGAGCCTCTTCAGTGATGCTTCAGTTAAGGTCCATGACTCCACGCCATATAAAAGAACGGAAAAATACGTACACTTTAGTAAACGAACTTTTAATTTCCAATTTTATGTCGTGGCTGTTAAAGATTTTTTTCATTTTGACGAAAACTGATCTTGCCTTCTCGATCCTTATCTAATTCCATCGATTGGTCCCACTGTTCATTTAAGTTTGATCCAAGATAACAAAAGTTGGTGATTTGTGTTATAGGTGTTGGTTAACTAGTAAATTGACCAGGTGGTATCTATTGTTGCTTATAACCATGTATTTGGTTTTTTTGATGTTAAAATCAAGCCCAAACCTACTTCTGCCACCCTGGAGACAAGTGTCTGCAGACCTTCAAGCTGTCTGCAAAATAAAATGACAGTATCATCAGCGTATCTTATGTTGTTCAATCGTTCTCCGTTCTATAAGTATTCCCTCGTCTATGTCCGTTAGCGCTAGGTTCATAATGTCCTCTGAATATGTCTTGAACAATTAAACATCCTGTCGTACGCCTCTTTTTATCTTTATATCGTTGTTAACTGATCACCAACTCTAACAGGTGCAGTTTGTTCGTAATAGATATTGTTTATTGATACGGCAATTGAATTTAATATTTCATCAGTTCGTCATGTTTTATTCTATCGAACGCTTTCTTGGTAATCAACAAACACCACATATATATCACATCCACGTCTCTACATCTTTGAAAGAGAAACTTGTATTGCAAAAAGTGCCTCTCATGTACACAATGCATCTCTGAAGCCGAATTGTGTGTTTGTCATGGTGTTTCTTACACTTTATATATTCGTTTATGTATAATTTTTAAAAAAGTTTACAGGAGATGGCTCATAAGGCTTATTATTCGATAATCTTCACATTTTTTGGCATTGGGTTTTTTAGGGATTGTTATAAAAGTTGATCTTAGTCACTGTTGGGTATTTTTTCACTTTGGTATATATTGTTGAAGATAAAGGTAAGGTAAGGTAAGGGCAGCCAACTTAAACAAGCAATTTATTTTTCTGAGTTTGGTTTTTAAAATACCCGATGTTTTCTCTATTAAAATTAAAGTTAAGACTTATACATAATTATACAAAAATATATAATACATTTTATTTTCTTCTCTAGGAAATATCTTTAGTTGAAGTTGAAAAACGGTCAACTACACCCCATTTTACGATAATAGTAATTATTTTAGTCCTGTGATGTGCTGGTTTTTATTTTAATGATTCCACTCTGTGAGTTTTTATTTGATTTTAAGTATGTTCTATATAATAATTGTTGCTAATTTTAGTCTTCCTTATGAAGCTAATAAAAATTAGAGCAATATCGAGTTTGACGAGATAATAGAATCATTTTATTATTTGACCGAAAAACCTGATATCTTTCTCACTAGTTTTACTTATTGACGGTCGATAATATACAGAAAATCAACTATATACATATATATGCATTCCGTGGTTACACCTCTCGTCAGGGAGGAGTTGTGAATACTTAAATAGAAAAGAAAACGCCATCGATAAGAAGTCTCCTGACTTCATGTTTTTTCATATAGAGGTATATTATGTTACAATAACTGCGAGGTAGTTTCATATATTTATTTATTCTCGTTCGGCCACAAAAATATAGAATTATTTTATTCAATAAAGACTGCACAATAAAGACTAAAATTACATTATACAATTTAATGGCAAACCCGAAAAAACAATAGCAAAAATTATGTACACGATCGTCATAAATTTAATTTGTTTTAATAAATACAATCAATCTTTAATTAGACAATTTCATCATCTTCAACCCAACTAATATAGTTATTAATCATTAACAATTACTTCAGATTTAAATCGTTATGCTTATAGAAATACGGAGGTTTGAGATCCATGTGTCAGGAAGTTCGTTTAAGAGCTTTTCGGATAACAGTCCAGTCTTCTAAAATATCTTGAGGTTTCAGCATATATACAATATAAGGACCAGAAACGGTAACAGCTTTTCTTCGAGACCTAGACCGTGACCTGCACAAAAAAATATATACTTAATGAATAAACGTCAGACTTTAATAATTAAAATCGGCTTTTTCAATCATTGTATTTACTTTTTTTATTATTTCATTACATAAAGCAAACAAGATATGACACAAACGTTTGAAGATAAATACGAATTTTTCGGTAGAACTCAAAGTAAAGATTGTTAACTACTTTACCATATGTGGTAATAATTCACCATAAATATAAAGCAAGCTTAAGTGATACAATTCAGCTTTAGAAAGAGCTTAGAAACAAATTAAGTACTATTTAGATCGATTTAGGTCGGCAACTGGCGGACCTAGGAAGGTCGAAAACTGGACCGCCAAAAATATTTTAATATATTTTAATCACATAAATTTTAAACAGAATTTTTAAAAGCCTTTTCCTACGTTTGATTGCCACCGTAGAGCTGGCAACACCGCTGCCGCTTAGCACGGGAATCCACGTGTAAAGTTGACAATCGTAGTCACGTAGTAGAGCTGAGAGCATAGTACAAAGAAAAATAGGTATAATACTGCGCAGGCCACTGTCAGCAGATCCCTACTCTTGACGTCTCAATGAGAGTATTCGTCATTGTAATATATCTGTTTTATCGGAAATTTTATTCATTTATACGGAAATTTTATCAATTTTTTAGCTTTTGCATGGTGAACGCTGAATAAACACCAGAAGCCATGTTCAGACTCTGAGATAGTAAAATATTGTATTTTAGGACTGGCGGCAGCACTTTTTGAAGATAAAAAGGATGTTGTTGCCGTAATTCAAGTATTCCGTTGTCGGCAAAAAGCAATACAAGAAGAACTGAAATATAGGCTGCAGACAATAAAAGGGGTTTGCTCGAACTTCTGCAAAAGGTGCCTTTCTAGGCCATAGCACTTGCGATATTGTTGACGACGAACAAATGTCTTTCGTGAGATTTTATGGTATTGAAAATAAAATATTTAGGGAACAATTGCTTGCAGTTTTGCCGTTTAAAGGCCAGACTCGTGGACAAAATTTATTAAAGGCTTTTGATAAGTTCACGACAAAATCAAACATTAGTTACTATAAAATGGTGTCCGTCAACTGATGGGGCTCCAGC